AGTAGATTGTTCCGGTCTTCTTGTTGAAAATGGGCAGGAGCTCAACCATCTTGATCAAGTTGGTTGCTGCTTTGAAATCTAATGGGTGCAAGAATAGGGAATTGGGAATCAGGAAGTGCCGTTTCTGTCCTTGGACGGTTCATTTGTTAGTAATTCCTTCCTGTTTTTGTTCAAGATATCTCAGGTTCTCAGTTCTGACTAATTTAAAATTGGGTGCCATGTGCATTACAGAATGTGCATATTCGCTCAGCTACCTGGCTCTTTTGTGAGACGACCAGGAGACAAGCTAGAGTGGATACTGATAAAAACGTGTCACCAACTTTTTTTTTTTTTTTTTTTTGCACAAAGGCAAACTTGTCTTGGGAGAAATAATGGAATCAAAACCTTCTGGTGGTTCAGGAAAACTTGAATCCATCAGATGACATAGAAGCCTCCTGTAATTGTGAATAGAAATTAGATTTCTATTTTTCATCCTGCACTTGAATCATTTTATTTTCAGGGTGAGCTGAACGTTATGCAAACGACTTAATCTTAAGACAAGAACCGGATTTTACGGCGGCTCCAAATCAAGCATACACCCCCACGGATATTTGTTTTGGAAAGCATTACTCAGTTCCAGAGAAACGACTTACCTTCATCAGAAAACAACAAGGCCTGGTATAACAGTTTCTCAATATTTGACCACTCTTCTTTTCGAAACTGGCAGAGGTAACTTAAGACGGGGGCGTTTTTTAACGTGAACCGTGTCACTTTAAACTACATTTCATGGACAGCTTTAGGTCAGCATCGAAGCCTAATATTATCCCAGTTCCTCCTAACCTAGGTTTAGCTTGGATTGGATGTTTGGGATCGCCGTCAGGTTGGAGCCCCCAGCGGTGTCCAGGTTTCACCCGTCTGACCCAGGCTGCCTTTTCCACATGAAAGAAAACGCAAAGGTTCAATTAAAAACCGCTGGAAGAAAGTGGACTTGGTTGTAATTAACTGTGGATTACAACAGTGCAGACAAATAAAGAATATATATATATTTATGTGTGTAGGTAAATTCAGTGAATTTTAAGAAAAAAAAATCATCAAAATTGGTAAAGCTAAATGCAAAATAAATACTTGACTTTGGGTTTTCCACAGGAACTGTATTTAGTTCAGCAAATACCGGCTCTTCAAAGACTGACGCAAAGAAACATCTACGTCTTCCCTTTAAATCAATTCTTCTCGCATTAAGAATTGTTCTTTAGTTACAGCAGGATGTTTTTGCAGTCTTCTTGAGGCTGACGTCATTGCTGATTATTGCAACCCCACCTTACAAACTGCCAATTCTGGAAACGGGATAGTCTGTGCCTCAGCGGGATAAATCCACGTTTTTGCACGACAGAAATCGAGCCCTCGTTTAATCGCTTACCTGGTTTTTAGCTGGTTTCCACAAGGGGCTTTCACAATTTATCTTTGCTGATGAGCTTCAAGTCTTTGAGGTTGAAGGGCCCCCCTTGCAATCAACCTCATCTTTAGAGATTCATGTTGGCACTCTGGCTGGGTCACCACAAAACATTTCTACTCCTTCCTGTCAGAAGAAACACGCCGTTGAAGTGAGCTTAAATCTGCTAGGGGTTTGAATAATCTTGGCCTTAAACGTCCTGTCGCTTTAACAAAAGGGTGTGTTTTGATGATGGTACGTTTGGCTGTTCAGCAGAGAGTTATGCCTATCGCAGGGTGTCATAGGTCAACAAGATGGTCTCATTTGTGTGATGTGGCTCAATCTCTGACCTTTGATCTGAGTTGAAGTCTGAGTAGGACTTTCAGGCGTAATGTTTGGCACGAAAGCGGCACCCGTGCAGCAGCTGTTCTCAGGATTAATTTAATCTTTGCTGTATAGACGTTTGGCGTTGTCTGCAACTCGTCGTTACAATTAGTCTTTGACAAGTGTCACCAAGAACAGCTGGTAGAAGATCAGCTTAAGTAGTGTCGTTTCGTCATCACGTTTGCTTCACATGCGAAAGGTCTCTGGTTTGAAACGAGACAGAAGCAGTGAGTAGTGAGCGCAAGTAAGTAAGCGGAACCTTCCGGCCCACTCAGGTCTTTTGGTTCTGGCCAAATTGGGTATCCCCAAAACCAGAACCAAACATGGAGAAGAAGCTTTCAACTTCTATGCACCAAAAATCTTGAACAAACTTCAGAATATATGCAAAACAGGTAAAACACGTTGTTTGTTTGTTTGTTTGTTTGTTTGTTGGTTGGTTTGGTTGGTTGGTTGGTTGGTTGGTTGGTTGGTTGGTTGGTTGGTTGGTTGGTGGTTGGGTTGGTTGGTTGGTTGGTTGGTTGGTTGGTAAGCAGTGTGAGAGGAAACGTGAATAGTCTCATAAATGGGGTGATGAATACACAGATCCTACAAGAGAAGCATGTGTGGGGACAATTACTTCCATCCAGTGGAAAGAGACGTGTTGCTCTTTTATATTTCACTCACCCACCTACCTGCCCCGCCTACACTCAAACCAGCAGGACGTGTTGATGCATCTCAAGACGTTCACCCAAAAACAACCAACTTTAGCTACTTCAAGATGGGTGAATAAATTAATTTAGGTGAATAGAGCTAGTACATAGGATATGGCCTAACTGCCGGCTCAGTCCTTTTATGAGAAAAAGCTCATTTTAACAAAAAGCTAGAGATGCCTCGTAGGTTTCTCAACTGCGGTGGGTTGGAGCAGTACAGTAAGGGAGGGGGTCAAGCACACTGACACAGGATGTCACTGAAGTAGCATTCTACTACAGCATGTGACATCCTGTGTCTCACAGTCTCCTGATTTCAGGTCTGCATCCCCGTATTGCCACGTCTGCTATCCACTGTGATCTATCAAGATCCAATCACAAGGCCAGGTTCATTTTTATCCCCAATACTTCACCAATAAATGTGAACCACAAAGTATTATAGTTACAAATAGCAGAATGTGTTTGTATCACATGCATATATGCTTGATTTGCGTCCACAAAAGAGCCTGGGGAGTTTTCTCCCTGGAGTTTTCAGGCTTTCCCCTTGCCTGTGTGGGTTCTCTCAAGGTATTCCAGCTCTCATCCACAGTCCAACAACGTAGATGTTGGACATATATATCCTCCACTGACTGCTGGCCAGCAAAGTCCGTAAGGAAGATGGAAGAAAACAGGATGATCTTGTCAAGTGTTTGGTCATGTATAGAACAATGTCCTATGTTTAATCTTAAGACATTTGCGACACCTCCTGGTCATATGAGGAACTGCATGTAAAAGCATTTGATGCTTTCATACTTTCATCCACCTTAAGTGTCTAACTTTGCTGGGGTCAGTAGGTGAGAGATGAGTTATTATCCATAGTTTATTACTATACACTATTTCAGTGTGGTTCTGTTTTAATTCTAATCAAGTAGTTGTATTGCCTAGAGATGCAGAAGATTAGATGACTTAGGTGTGTTTGGAATGGTCGAATCCAAAGCTCGTGACGATGCATTAAAACAGTGCCAGTTGGAAAAATGTTTTTAAGAACACGAACTGGGTGCAAGAAAGGTTAGAACCTGGTTAGAACGCTTGAAGTATTCCAACATAATAAAGACACCAAACACACCTCCACCTCCTTACCAAAGAAACCGAGGTACAGCTGCTGGACGGGAAAAGTATGTCTCTAGACCTAAACCCTTGATAAGCATCAGTGGGGCATCCTCAAAGGAAAGGTGGAGGGACATAAGAAGTCTCACTTCCATCAGCTCCGTGACGCCAGAATGGAGGTAGAGGAAGAGGACTCCAGTGACGAACACTGACGCTCAGGTGAACTCCACGTCCAGGAGAGTACAGGCAGTGCTGAAAACAATAATGGTGGCCATTCAAAATATTGACACATTGGACACAATTTGGACATTTTCATTTGACTTTTGAGTGAGTTATTTTGAGGGGACGGCAAATTTACACTGCTTTACGAGACATACAGTGATTCTTTACACTGTAACAAATTGTCGCCTTCAGTGTTTTCCCATGAAATGGTAAATAAGACATTGTAAGCCTTGAGCCAGAAATGAAATAAAAGTACTAAGAACAAAATACACATTAGTATGCATTAGATATGAGCTAACATATATACATTATGTTAGTTCATAAATGGCTTCTACATAATTTAGCATCTGGTATCGGTGTTGTGATTGAGGCCAGCTCTCTCGTGGATGTTCTCAGATTTCATTTTACAGCAAGTCAGCCGCAGCATAATGTCGTACCTTTTACCATCAAAGAAATCAGCAAACTAAAACAGATTCAAATTTCTTTGAAAATAGTTTTAGATTTCAGAGTACGCAAGCTTTCAGATCATCAAACTAATGGTAATATTAGAAAAAGATCTATTTATTGTCTGTGTCGTTTATCCATTGGGAAAGCTGCAAATTTGGCAGATACTAAGACATTTTCAAGATGGCCACCATGACAAACAGGATTTGCTATAAATATGTACAGACTTTCCCATATAGCATCCAGATTGATCAATGTCACAGGATTCTGTGGTAAAATATGCCATTTGCATGGCAGCCATCTTTGAGTTCAAAGGGTTCGCATACTTCTTTTAAGAGTGATGTCCAAGGTTTGGTGCTTGCGTCATGATTTGAAAGAGTATTTCCACTAAACATTCATGATTCAACAATAAGAAACAGTCTTGGCTTGAAAAGGTGACCATGGGCGAATTCCAAGGCCAAAACCACTGCTGACCCAAAGTAACGGATTCTGTGGAGAAGCAAGATAAAAATGGAACATTGTGGAAGGTTTGTTTCCTGCTAAAATGGGCACAAAACTAATACAATTCAGAAAAAGTACATTTCACCAACAATCACACATGTTGGCGATTGAGAGCTTTTGGGGTTAGCTTTCTTGCTAAATAAATGAGATTGAAATCTGTTCAATTTAAAACATTCTAGTGTGATGACAGGAAAAAAAAAACACAAACAGAAGATTTTATTGAGGATAATATGTGTAAAAAAAAAAATAAACACAAAAATCTTTGTTACTATTGTGGCACCGTGAGGACTTTATTTTCAGGCCATACAACCATACAGTGTCTATAGTACCAGAGATAAAATCACAAAATAAATAACATTTAATACTACAGTAGCAGATTAAAAAGGACACATATTGTCATGACACAGGCAAAGTTTGCACCGTTTATGAAATAATTATGTCTGCAATTCATGCACTCGACAGTTGGCCGTCCATTCGTGAACTTGATCAAAGTGTACCAACAAGTCACAAAGATTGGGTTTCAATTCACTGCGATCCGATTTTGGACAGAACAGACGACTTTGGCTAACCCCCAGAGTGCCGTTTTAACTAACATACTCCAAACAGTTTGCCCTAACGATCACCGTTTCACTTAAAATGCTAAAGTATCACAGTTCAGAGTAGTTCTGGCCTCACTGAAGCAGAAACGACGTCTTACATAATTGTTTAGCATTGTTCATCTGAAATATAGGAAATGAAACGATGCTCTACTGTCCTGTGATCAAAACAGTGCAGCAGCCAAACTGTAAAAGTGGAGTCCTTCCACGTCGGTAAAGAAACATGTTTATGACAGTCCGTGTGTGTTTTTTTCCGTTTTCACGAGTTGTGCGCGCCCTCCCGCGCGTTCTTGTTGCGCTGCAGGGAAACAGCCACACCTTCACTCTAACGTCTGTCATTTCTCAGCCTCAGACTCATTCGAACTTCATGACGGACGGTGGGAAAAGTCTGTTGACAAAAAAAGGGGGGCGCAGGGGCTTCTGCTCCTGTCGGAAGCTTACGTTTAATGCGAAAACGGGGTTAATGTGCGTCTAGCCGTCCAGAGGTTTCCCCAGGTAAACCATTGTGACTTCAGTGTTGCCGTACACGGCGGAGACGGCCGGGAACAGGCAGACTTTTGGAAGTCCGCGGAAAGCAACGCCAAGGAACTCGAAGCCCCTCTCGAAGGCTAGCGTCTTGTCGTCCATGTCTAGAATTACTCGTATTCGCTCCCCGATCTGTGAACAAAAACAGACACATTTGATTACACAGAAACGATCGATTTCGAATGACGACAATTTGCAGAAACTATGAATTGAGAATAGTGATGGGGCAGTATAAAGGTATTATTTCAGCTTTTAAGTGCTTAAATTTTTGGTTTATGGGAATTTTGGGAGTGAAATTCCTTCCAATGAGATATTAGAAAAATGATTGTCTATTGAACAGCCAACCGCAGGCACAAAATTTTGATTTCGTTAATCAAAATACCACTAAAAATGATGCAAAGGTCAAATTTGTAACTGTAAGAATCGAGATTTTTCATTAATAGGATTTTGTTTTTGTTTCCTTCCTGTTTTAAATAAAAGCATTTAGAAGTGCATCACCGAAAACCATCAATTTTTAAAAATTCGGTTCAAAAAGTGAAATACCCCAAACTTTTACTTCTATTATATTGATGATTGTGGCTTACAGCTAATGAAAACTGAAAATTCAGTTCTTCGGAAAAATCACAACATGAAGCGAGATTGAAAATAGAAGGGATTTTTCAAGCAAAAATGTCATCCTACTGAAAACTAGGCTTGTGTGCTGTACACATCTTTTTGCACGAGTTGCAGCTCGCTTGCATTGTTCTGTCCGTTGTCTCGTAGCAGATCATAAATTTTCTATGGTAGCAATCAAGCAAAGTGAGGCCATGATTATTAAAGCTAAATTCTGGTTTTCTGATCATTTTGAATCTCCTAACGTGATTTCACTTCGGCGCAATCGCAGCAAAACTGCGGGACGCGCTGCGCTCACCTGATATTTGGGCGCGTTGTTGCACTGCGGGAAGTTTCCGCTGACCTCCCCGTTGTGAAGTAGGTTGTTGTCGACAAGGTTCCATCCCCAGCTCTGGTCGTCGCTGCCCAGCAGGGCCACGTAGCCCTGGCACTGCATCGCCGCCCGCTTCGTGGCGATGCCTATCACGGCTACAGTGCCCAGGGGCCCTTCCCACCAGATCTCCCAGGCGTGCCGGCCTTCTGTGAAGCCGATTTTGCCCCGCGCGCCGTCCGTACTCTGGGCTATGGGGTTGCGGTGCAGGGTGAAGCCGTTCTTCTTCACGTAAACGTTGCGGGAGCAGTCATGGGAGCTCAGGGCGTGTTGGAAAGCCTTAAGCTGTTGGTAGAAGACAAGACATCCATCGGTCACATGGTTGGCATCTGTCGTGGTTGTTAGTGGCTCCTATAGTTACGCTTTAAAAGGGTTTCAAAAGTTAAATGAGGATTGTCGTCTCGCAGGGACGTTCGGTGCATCTGTTGATTGATTGTTGCCATATCTTTGTGTTATACAGCAACAGAACCATCTACATTTTGTTGCAGCATGGCATTTACACTTTTTCAGATCCTTCTTGATAACAGATATCCAAAGTTTTTCATCCACTTTTGTGCTCAAATCCCAACAAAACACACTTAAGTTTGTGGTTGCAAAGCGACAAAAGGCGAAATGGTTTTACAGAGGAATGAATTGCCTATCTGGTGATCATTGTTGAGCACATCTTCAATGAAACACAGCAACTATCAGGGACAAAAACAATGCATGGTGAAGAATTTAAAAATATATATTTTTTAAATAATCACACCTGTGTTTCTATTGTGTCTTTTCACTTTTAAAGAAGTGAGACTTCACTTTCGTATCGTCTAATTCTATAAGGTCAGATGATGTGTGATAAGATCCACAACAAGTGTTTGAGAAAATCCTCACTCGATCAGAATGAAAACAGAAAAGCACATCGTCCATCCTGCTCAGTCCAGCTTAAAAATAGACATTAAAAACGATTGCAAGCATGCACAATAAGCATATACTAGCTTTATCGTGCTAATAGATGTATCCATCACGTTCCCCACATTCCATTAGAACAAGGCGGGTCTGTGGAAGCCTACCTTCCCCTTATACGTGGGCAGGTTGCACAGGATGTCGGACCGCAGGGCTTCGTCGCTTAGCGTCCGAGAGCTGAGGCTGCGCCACACCTCGCTGTTCTCATCCGCCAGAATGTTGTTCCAATGCCAGCAGACCAACGAGCAGCGCATCAGGTCAAACAGCTCCAGGTACGAGAAGATATGCTCCAGCACTCGGGCTGGCAGCCTCCCGGCCACCCCTGCGCCTCCGCCCGCCGGAGCAGCGTGAGACAAGCCGGCGGAGCTGCAACCGGCCGCCGCCGCTGCGCCCAAACAGGGAGAGCCTCCTCCCCCAGCGGTTGCAACTGACATCGGGGCCCTTGCTGCTCGACGACGACACCGGCCGAGCGAGTAGTTTCAACCGTGTGCTGCGAGGCGACCTCTAAAAGAGCCGGAGCGGCGTCATTTTGCCTGGAAAAGCCCCACGCAGGTCGCAGTTAAACCATGAGCACAGACCCTGCTTTTCCCAGTTCAATGGCTGAATGGAGCGATGCGTCAAGGTCCTGGAAGAGCAGATACAAAACCCCACAGCCTGGCGGGAAAACCGTGTTACTCTGCGATGTGAAACTGTTTGTTTCATTTAGCACTACTGAACCGAATTTAGATCGTGCGAGTCAAACACAGGACAATGAATCACGGCCCATAAATCGGGTTGTTAAGATTTTATCGATCTTTAAGGACCTCGTAGTTGTCATAATAATGAGCTCACAATTTCACAATGTTTACGAAATTTGAGGCTACGTTTTTTTCAAATATTTAATAATAAAAAAAGCACACTCATGGCTTAAACCGTGTCTTTGTGGAATTATAAAATAAAATTTTCTGACCTGTTACGGTTGTATTTGTTATTAAACGTGTCCTCAACATGTGGCTTAAAGTGGACAAAATATTGCTTTATTAAGTAAAAAAAATGAAAGGAGATGGAAAGAGAAAGAAAGTGAAAAAAAAATAACTAACTGCGAAGGGCAAAATAAATCCGAAACGCTTCGTTGTTGCCGTTGCTGCCATATTGTGAGTGGACTTTTGTGTTGAGAGACTTGCAAGAGATTCCAGTGATTTTTAAAAAGGTGAACTTAATGGGGATTTAAATATATATATATATATATATATATATATATATATATATATATATATATATATATATATATATATATATATATATATATATATATATATAAAACGCGAAATTAATTAAATGTAGTAGTTTGCGACTGTGTTCATTTTAGGCACATTTTGTTTCACATTGCTATTTTGAGGTCGTGCAGAAGTCTCTGTTATTTGTATCTAAATACAAATCTTACTGATTAAAAATTACTCACCAAATTCAGCTGACGTGTCTAATTTTTGATTTAAATCCGATAAACTTGGTCTCTTAGTTTCCCTCGATGAACTTGCCACTCTCAATATGGCGGACACGCCTTACGTATCGTTTCCACCGGGGCAACGAAGCCAATGCGGCGAAGGATTTGCGCTATGAAGACCACGTGACGGAACACACCCGGAAGTGACGCGTGGTGCTCAAAAGAGTTAAGCAAAGCATCTGGGAACAAAACACCAGCTAGCTCAGTTTTTATTGAACAGCGGAGGACCGGAGCTGGGAGCAAACACACGGCGGAAACGGCTGACAGTAAGTTCCAGCTCGGGTCGTATTGAGACGAGTCCGAGTTGAGAGTTGTGTGCGGTGTTGGGACAGTCCGTCAGCGCAGAGCACAGCTGTTTCGGTCGCCTGCCGTCCTCCTGTCCGGAGCAGCGCGGCCTGTTGACAAGTCGGTCCCGTCTGCGGGGCTGTCCGGGAACTGTCCCGCGGCTCGCCGCGGTCACACGGTTTGATCCGCAGGTCACACGGGACATGCGAGAAAACCACACGAGGAGCAGGCGCGCCGAGGTCGCCGCAGGTTCTGCACCATTTAAAACCTGCGAGCTAAGCTAGCTTAATGATAACAAAGCGACGTGATGTTTCGGAATTCCTCCGCTGGAAGAGAGGTTGCCATCTTTCCTCATGCACAAGGAGAACACCTGACGTCTTATTGAGCAGAACGCACGCATAGTCCTTGGTGTTGCTAAGAACTACAGGGAAGTGGGATTTTAAAGAAAATCAGAAAGTGGTGCTTAAACAGACTTAATTTTTAAAGAATAATAATAATATTCCAATAAAGTGCCGCTTAAGTTACGTCAAATAAGCAAATTTCATGTGGCTTAAATACCGCCAATGTGGCTAAAACTATTTTATCTAGTATGTTTTTTTTATTATTTTGAAAGTGATATTTTTATTAAGAGATATTGTTTGTTTTTGTTTTGTGCTGAATGCTTACATAAACCAATGCACAACTTTCAACCTTGTTTTTTACGCAAGTATTGACTACTCTAATAATATCAAATGTAGGTTCTAATTAACAGGATTTCCTTCAAAAAAAATGTTCTTTTTTTATGGTAAAGTGATGTAATGGTGTTTCCAAACATCACCTCCAGAGGGCAGCACTACATGTCTAAGCAGGAACTGAGTTTAAAGTCACATGGGGGGACGAGGTTCTGAAACATAAACATTTTATTTGGTTAGCAAACAATATGATGCAAATGAGTCATGTTTTTAGTTTTTTTATTATACTTTGTAGATGAATATGTTGGAGTATAATGTTAAAGGCACATATTTTAGTTTTAAAAAACATGGCTATTGAACATGGCTATTGAATGGTGTATTTTCCACTTTCCACTGGCTTGCCTAACTTGTATCTTAAATATGTTTTGTTTTTATTTGTTATTTTTTTCAACACAGCTACTATAAGCAGACAGACGTCATGAATCCTGTATACAGCCCTGCACCAACAGGGGTCCCCTTCACCAACACTAAGGGTTTGAGCTATCCAGGTAATTTCCTCTGCAGTAGCGCATGCACCCAAAAAAAGAAAAAAAACGCGACACAGATTCATAAAGATTCTCCAAATCGATTTTTTGTTTGTCCACAGCAGCCGGATTCCCTGTCGGATACGCGACCGCCGCACCGGCATACAGTCCCAATGTCTATGCAGGAGCAAACCCGGGCTTCCCCAGCGGTAAGAACTGAACTGTAGCTTTGAACGTTTTTCTTTTACCCTCTCTTACCGTCGGTCCCCACTGCATAATCTGCAAAACAAAAAAAACAACAAAAAAACCCCTGAAAGTTTGTTGCAACTCCAGCGGCATTTTAGGTATTGCTAAAAATAACTGAAATGCTACTGGAGTTTGCAACAGTTGCATTTCACTTTTGGTTTATGGTTTGTCGGTCACATCCTCCAATGATTATAAATTAAAAGTTCCCAATCTAACTTACTGAAAACAAAGCATTAATCACAAAAGAAATTATTCAGTCACATTTGTTAAATAGGACTTGTAATAACTTCACTAACTGTGACTCTTCTTATTTTATTTGGAAAAAAAAAATTGAAATGCGTACATTTTCAATGCCAATTAACTGTTTTAAAACTTTGCAATGTGTGTAAGCAAGAGCAGTTTGTGAGCACATTCTTAAAAAGTCTTTAAATTAAGCTTTAAAATATTTGAAGTTAATTTTAAAAAGGTAAGTTGGCCTCTGATATATTAATCACAGGTGTTAGACTTTGTCTTGGCAGGACTATTTAATTTCATATATTCCATGTATTTTTCTTTTCTCACTGGATTTTTTTTGTCAGGCTAAAGAGTCGCACTCAAACGTCTTTGTTCTGTGACTCGAGGCGGTTGAGAATCCCTCTAACTAGCTGCTAGTATTCGCTCACTGGTTAGCTAGCGAGCTTTTTAGCGTACATCTCCGGTAAGTGCAAATTTCTCACCAGTTGGCTGGACGAAGTTTGTACGTTTGTGTGGTGATACAGGTCCTTAATTCCATTCATAACGGTCTTTAAAAGACGTTTTCAAAGTCGGTGAAACCCTGAATGAAACGACGCGTTTCCTCTCGCCAGGCTATGCCACTGGCACTGCTTTCAAAATGTCCTGCTCTCCCAACACGGGGACCATCCCGCCGTATTCCTCCTCTCCGAACCCGTACCCCACCGCCGTTTATCCTGTGAGGAGCACCTATCCCCAACAGAGCCCTTACGCACAGGTCGGTGACTGGGAACAAGTTTGGACTGTCACGTCTGACGGCGTGATCGTATTTTTCTAAAACTGTTTTGCTCCTCTTTGATCCAGGCGCTAATACCATCACAACAGCAGGGCACCTATTACACGCAGCCGCTGTACGCTGCTCCGCCTCACGTCATCCATCACACGACGGTGGTCCAGCCCAACGGGATGCCCGCGGCCATGTACGCTCCGCCCATCCCTCCCTCTCGCCCCAACGGTGTAACCATGGGGATGGTAGCGGGCACGACCATGGCCATGTCAGCAGGTGAGCTTCGGCGGTTTCCGACACGTTAGCAGTGCGCTTCAGGGCGAAACGAAACGTGTTTGTTTGTGTTTCTTTCTAGGAACTTTGTTGACAAGTCCATCACCAGCACCCGTTGCCCCCCATCAAGTTACGATGCCCACATATCGACCCCCTGGGACCCCAAGCTACAGTTATGTGCCCTCTCAGTGGTGAAGAAACTGAAGCGTGAGTCCTGTGTATGACTGAAAGTCTCTCAATATTGAAATTTTCATGTCCCTTTAACTTTTTCACATTTTATCACATCATAAACATGAGAGTGTTTTTATTAGGATTTTATGTGATAGAGCAGGGGTGTCCCAAAATGTGCTCCGGGACCCATTACCTGTCTTAAAATAACAGGGAAGTGCATTACAGTTAGGTATTGTACTGCATGAGTGAAACTTGAGGTCTAGGAGCCAAATCTGGCCTGCCACAGCTTTTTCTGTGGCTCTCTAGAGAGAGAGAAACTCATAAATAAGACCTTCAAGATAACTGTTCAATATTATTCTAGCAATCATTTCAAAACACTTTTTTAATGTTTACTGCCAAATTACATCAGTCATTCTCTCCTCCTGATCTCAATTCTGCGTCTGCGGAAATTCACGCAAAATCAGCAGGTCCTCCCACTTTTTCGCACTAATTCACAGTTGTGTTTTTTTTGCTAAATTTTCAGCAAAAAAGGTCAACCCATTCGGTTGAAGTGACTGCCAACTCCAACCTGAAGGTGGCAGTATTTCTTACTACTCTGATGCCTCACTTGGCGTCAAGTTGCAGCCAAAATTACAAGTAATAAAAACTCACATTTTACCATTTGCAAAATGTGTTGCAAATGTTTCTAAATTAACACTAATTAAGCTGTAAAAATAAATTTAAAAAAAATCCCAAAGATATTAATTTTAAGAAATAATTCTTGGACGCGGACGCAGCGGTTACCATTTCAACAATTTGTCAATGGGTTTTATCGATACATTCTAGCACAACCGAGCATTGAGAACATTCATGATACTAATATGAAAATTAGTTTGTTTTTGTGTCAAAATGTGAAAAAAAAAACAAAGTTCAAAGGGTGTGAATAGTTCATGAGCAGCGTGCAGAAACCTGTCTTGACTCACGCCCGTTCTTCTCCCTGCAGGTCGCAAAGGCGTTAGATATGCATTCACACTCTACTCCAGTGTTTTTCGCTCTCGGCAGCGGCCTGCCCTCGCAGCGTCTGCAACCACTTAGTCTTCTTCCAGCATAATGTGAATCTAAAACCCAACTAACATAGATCAGAGCCTCATTCCAACATGGAGGGAGCTTGGAAGGGTAGGCTCATCCCCATGTACCCTGCCCCAGTTCCTCTTATACCTACAAGGCTGCATTCCATGTGGCCATCCCATCCACTTCCCTCCCAGTCCCCGCCAGCATCAGCACCTCTGCAGCCTGGCCTCGTATCTCACATCAAACTGCAAAAAAGGAAAAAAGAAACATAAAAAAAGAACCTTTTGCGGATTGTCATGCAGGTTTTTATAGCTTAAACTCTGAAGTGGTAAAAAGGGAGTTCTGTTTTTTTTCCTGTTTATTTTTTTATTATTATTATTATTTGGAGGATACCTATGACGTTGAATGCATGTGTGTGTGTATATAAATATATATATAGATATATGAAGTAATGCTAGCTTGATCTCCCTGCTGTGACAGATGCAAAGTCAATAAAAGGCACACGTCCAAAGGAACTAAGAAAAAGAAAAAATAATAATCTGCAATGCTGAATCACCAGTGACCGTCTCATAAATGTGAAAAAAAAGAGAAGATTTTTCATGCAAAAAACGTGCCTGCGTGCTCCGACGCAGAGTCTTACCATTTCCGCTGCTTTCAATATGTAACGCAAGGTTTTTATTGTTTCTTTAAATGATGCAGCGTCTTTACTATTTTCTTTTTTATTTTACTTCTTTTGTATTTTAGGGTAGAGGGGTGGGTATGGGGAGTGTTTGAGTTCGTGCCTCTGACTGACAGCCATTCCGCAACTTAACCAGCCCGAGTGTTTCATTTCTTTTTCTTCTTCTTCTTCTGTGTTTTTTAGGAAAAGCTGCTTTCTAAAAAAAAAATTTTAAATAAATAAAAAAAAAAAAATAGACAAAAAGACCAAAAGCAGTTTCGGCCTGTTAGAGCTGCAGCGTCTTCGTTTTGGCCAGAAGTGTTCTTTATCAAGGAACGGAGAGAAATTGGGGGGACTCGTTAGACGAGAACGAATGAATGGGAACGCCGTTTTGTGTTTGTGTGTGTGAGGGCGCGAGCGCGCGCGCAAGTAGAAACGGTCTCAATGTTGAAACAAAAAAGAAGAGAAAAAAAAAGTCCATAAAAAGCGGTGCCATACCAGTGCAACATGCTTTAAACGTTCACATCAAAATAGTTTGTGTCTGGGTAGCTCTGATGCACTACAGCATTAAATCACTGCTAACTGTGGCTATGTTAGGAAAACATCATATCGTTCAAGTCCAGTTGTGAATAGCACTACTGAATGAAGGCACTAAGTGAAAACAGTTCAAGATTTTTCTTTTGTTTGTTTGTTTTTACCCTTTGACATGGCTCGCTGTCTTACCTCAAAGTAAACCCACCAGTATCACTCGTTTCAGACATGCTTTTTCTATGTTGCCTCGGTCACCTCAGTTAAATAATCTGTTTTGTAAATGTTATTTTTGTGATTTTGGTTCATGTTTTGTACTCTAAAAATAAAAACCAACTATAAGGGAAAACCTCTGTTTCTTCTTCTTCCTTTTTTTTTGTTGAATCAAATACTTTCCACAGAATAAATAATGACTATACATTCAGGCGTAAGTAGTTCCCTTGACTATAATTAGCATCACTAGCAAAGATGTGCACAAAAGGTGATGCATGTTGTTAACCTTGCTTACCATTCTGCTCACAATTTGTGGAGTCAAAAGAGATTACACCAACAGTTTAAAACTTATTGTATTATTATTTATTTACTGCAACAAATGTAGGCCATAATTGCATGGCATTTTCTTTGGTATTGTTTTTGAAGAGTTAAGGGAAATTTGCCTCTGGCATTTTATATTTTGATTAATTATTAAAGACCAACTTTTCTTGAAAGTTATTTGCCTCTATTTTTCAATAAGAAGCTACAAAAACACATTTTTTCTCGTTGGAAGTTGCAAACTGCCTTCCAATACACAATATGCAATTATTGCTATTATTTTTCGTTTTGGATTCTTGTTTTAAAATATAATATTTTTTAGAAATATCTTTCTCGTCCGAATAAACTATATGTTTTCCTACCTTATAAAATCCTGAGAATATATATTGAAGTTTTTCGTTGCAATGTGGCAAAATATTTCCTCAAGTCACCTTGTGAAAGTGTAAGAGTTTGCCTTGAACAGCAGAGGGCGCCAGAGCCAAAGGAGCTCAGCGACCAGAAGAAGACTTCCCATGATGCAGCACGGCGCGCTAACTTCAAGGTGGAGAGACATGTTTGTTTTTAGTTCCGCGCAGATATTTGTCACTTTACTGTAGCGGTGTTTCAAATCTGTTGGTGTGGATACTGTTCGTGTCATTTCCTTCGAGCTAAATGAGCCGCAGAGAATTAGTCCAACTCTATTTTCTTGTTTCTTTGTAGTATTATAGTAGCTGAAGCTTTCTTGGAAGATCGGAGTCTGGCCTACATTTAAAGAAATGAGACAATAACCTGTTGACGGGACAAAGGATGACAAGCAGCCCAGGACACCGCAGCGGCTCCTCCGTCGGTTCCGCTGACCTGTTTGAGGACGTCTGGAGGCAGCTGAAAGACTGCCACCAGAACACTGTGCAGGGTAACACACCGAGGTCACGTGAAACTCATTTAAACTGTGTTTTAGACACTAGCGTTCAGCATTTTTCCCTCTCTAGAATACGAGTCGAAAGTGAGCAAGCTGAAAAAGGACCGCTGTCTGTGAGTTTGCTGCACCGTTCGCTGACTGCACTGGTCGGCCGCCAGCCCAGCTCAGATCAACTTTGTTTCGTTACAGAGACGCTCAGAAGCTGGATGTGTTTTATAATCGCAACCTGCGGCTCAAGGAGCAAAACAAAAGCCTGCAGGACTCCGTCAGCCTGCTGGAAGACAGGTAGCCTCCTCACAGACTTTTGGGTAAACGGTATGATGGATCTGGTTGCATTGCAGTGCCACATCTGACAAGGGAACAAAGTTAGGACAGTTCAAAAAATAAAGTAAAAGCATGCTTTGCAGGTCAAAGTTACATTTATTTCGAATGCACATTCAGAAGCTAAAAGCTCAAATAGCTCCCAAATAAGAATGAGACTGAAGCAATTCAGAGACAACTGAGGCATTTATAAACCAATAGGAAGATTTTTAATGTAAATCTCAGTGCATTGAGTGGAGATTATGCCTCCATAATTATTGCATCTTTCTTAGGGGACACCGGTATCAAATTTGTTTCAAATTTGATACAAATTGCATCACTGATATGATTGATACAATTTGAATTGTATCAAATGTGATCCACTTCAAATTACATCACATTTGAAGTGTCACAATTTTGCTGTTAGACATCCAGCAAACTAATAAGAACATTTCCTGTTTCCAGGCTCCGTGTCGCAGAGTGTGGTCGATGTGCTGTCTTGGAGGAGAAGCTGAAAAGCAGTCAGGATCAGAATCTGGATGTCATCACTAAACTAAGTAAGTTTTTTTCCCCTATACTAAGAGGCACTTTCAACCATCTTTTAGCTTACATAAACTTAAACTTTAATGTTTGCGTGTTGCCATAACGGCTCTGTAAACCAACCCAGGGTTATAAACTCGGCACATTCATCATGTAAAATAGGTGGAGCTAAAACAAGAGCACCAATAAAGCGGCAGAAAGAAAGATGGCAGGTACACAAATCAATAAGGTTGTCGATGTTTTAGTCTAAAGTATTAAAGCTGCAGTAACCCTAACCCTAAAACTATTATTTTTACATGTTTTTAAACTTGTCACCATGTTGTGACAGAATGGTAGGAGACGGATAATCTGTGAAAGAAAATTGAGCTCTTCTGCCTTTCCTCAGTCCGACCAATCAGAGCCAGGAGGCGGGTCTTTGCGCTGTGAATCACACATCATTGTGGCTGGTAGCCCCCTCACAGACTTTCCCCACCCGTTCCCCATAATGCTCTCTGATGGTTGAAAGTCATTTAAACTAATTGATGTACAATGAGAGAAACCATTCGATCGTGCAGCCAAAGATGTTTTAAAAGGTTTATTTTAAAAAAAATCTGATACAAGTATTAAGAGGTTCAGTTGTTGATTAAAATATTGATTATTCTACTTACCAAAGCCTGAGTAACCATGTGCATTATGAACCTTTGTCATTCTGAGCATCACTGGGCATAACGATCTTACATTCTGGGATGTATTCAAGAGTTTGTTTGTTTTTTTTATCTACCTTGTTCCAGGAAATGAGAATAAAAACCTGGAAGATGAAAACAGAAATCTTCAAGCTGAACTGCAGAAGATGAAGATGCTTCAGTAAGTCTGCTAGCTTAAATAAATGCAGCATGAAATGTAGTTTTTCAAACTAAACATTTGTATAATTAATGATCTTATTAGCAGTGTATCTGGTGTTCAAAAGACAAAAAAAAAAAAACTATATCTGGAAACTGAACCCAGGTCTTGCTCTCTGATACTTTTAGCAACTTTTTCAGGTTCTGGTGTCAGACAGGAAGGTAGAGGAAGGTTTCACTTCCCCTTTCATCAGCAGATGTTGTTTTTGCATCAGTGCGGACCGCGAGGAGACATCAGAGCACGACGAGGGAGTCATCCCGGACTCGCCGATCCTGACCAGCTCGCTGCCTGCGGCTAACAAACTGAGGAAACGTAAACACCCCGACAAGAGCAGACGTGTTCGTTATGCCGAGACGCCGCTGCCGCAGAAGAATAACTCCCTCTTTAATGGTCGGTCCCATCGTGAGGCACCAACAAACAGCTTTCATGGCGATAAAATATGTCTAAATCAGTTTTTTTGTTCTCATTGAAGAGTTGAAGAACGAGGCTGATGCAGGCGCAAAGAATTCTGGGAGAGAAGTGCTTGTGCCAAACACTTGTGAACTGGACACATCCCAGAGCTCAAGTATGTGCACATCTGCTGGGTTTTACAGTTTAATGACACCAGAAAGAGGGGGAAAAAATACATAAAGAAAATACATATTTACATATTTACCAAGTATAAGACTCGTACTATTCTTTGCAGAATTTCAGATTAAGATTCTGTAAAGTTTGTGGACTCATATTTTGACATTCTTATTATTCCAGATGACATGAAAGAAGAAACTGAGGAGGTAGTTGCAGAAACGTGCGCTCTAGAGGTGCTTGGCTGTCGTCATCTTGTAAGTACAGTTCTGTGTGATTAAGTCACACATACAGAGCCCAACATATGAATATATGTATCAAAAATTGATTATTTTATTGCACTAGTGATGGATCTTGTGAAATATTTCTACATTGTGGAGCAAATTGCTTATAAAATGCAAGTCAGACGTGCTGCATTTGTTTGAACTCCTAACAAATTTCCACAAAATAAAAGTCATCAACATGCTTTTCTTAAATGTACACTTATAGGTTGATTAGAGAGTCCATCACTTTCCATTAACTGGAGCCTCTCTTCAGAATGAAAACGATAAACTGAAAATACTACCTTCCTAAATCTACAGTCAGAGCAATAATTGAAAGTTTGAAACACTTGAAATACGACAAGAAAGTCTGGGCAAAGAACCAACAGGAAGCTGAATGCTTCCTGTTGTAAAATATCTCCCTGTCCTACCATCACAAATGCCAACAGGAACTGTGTGCTTTTGGTCATTGTATGTTGAAAGAACTACGGTGAAGGCTCTGTGATGCTGTGGGCCTGTTTTTCATCCCAGCCAACTTGACAGGTTTCTGTTCTTCTTCTTTCATTTTAAATCTGTTGCCTTAGGAAGCCGAGTTGATTCCACGTCATGAAAACGACACAAAAAATATCTGGAAGGGCAACGCTCGTTTAAGGCAAGCACGACGACATTTGATTATGTCAGATCCTTCTGTTTTATCAGCAAGAAGTTCTAATCACCTTTTATTCCCCACACTTTCAAGGCCTTTCTCTTCGGCAGCACAGATCCGCAGTCCAGACTCGACCACGGAGAAATCGCCGTCTCTTCTTCCGAGTATTAAACGCTTCTCTGAGGAAGGTTCCTTTTGCTGGGGCAAACGGAAGAAGGAGGACAGTGGCACTGAGCAGCAGGCAGAAGGCAGAGCGGGGAGTAAAGAGAAGGTGGATGATCAGAAGGAAGCTAAACCCTTACAACTTGAAACCACTAGCCATTCTGCCACACTTGGCTTCAAACAGCAGCCGGACAATGAGGTGGCAATGCCTTTCTTAAATGATGTTTTAACTCAATTTCCAAGACCTTCAAGAGTCTCAGAATATTTGTCAGAAATACAGTTTCAAAAAAATTGCTCATTGTTCCACAGGGTCCAAACCAAATGCTGAAAATCTCTTATGCAAGTCCCACTTTCAAGAAGCCACTGAGTAAAGCTGGAGACCAACCAGATGGAAGTAGAAGAGCGCCTCCGCAGGATCGGAGTGTGTCACAGAAATGCCTTCAATCGAACAATGGTCAGTCATTTACAGCATAAGCTAATTTTAGTTACCAATTAACCAATTATTTTGACGATTAATCGGTTATTTAATGGTAACACTTGTGGTAATTGTTAATCCAATAAATTGTTGATTATTCTTTGGATTAATCAGCAAATAAATGGGTAGCAAAATGTGGTTGATTTTTTTTTTTTACTTATTTTATTTTTATTATACATAATTTGAACCAGGACAAGTTAAAACTAAGCCTCTTGAGAACTTTTGTTCTCAAGAGGCAACAAAAGTTCGTATAGATCGTATTTTCAAAGTTTTTTTTTTTTTTTTTTTGTTTATCTTAGATTCAAAATTGATGTGTGATTCTCCCACTTTTTACTTAATTACTTCTCTGGATGTATTTTCAGAAAATGGCCTATTATGGGATGTAAAACAATCAAGTTACTGAATTAGTTGACGATTGTTTCAATGATCAATTCTTCACGATTAATTGTTTCAGCCATGTACTGAATGTGATGTTTTCCCAGCCGACAGGAAGGAAAAGGTGGAGTCCACGTGGAGCGTCGACCCGGCGCTCGCTTTGTCCGTCTTTGAGAGCGAGGTACGGCATCGGCAGCTTTTGTGGTTCCATCTTCACTCACAGCGCCTTGAATAAAATATCCATAATTCCGAAGTGTTTTTGAAAAATACTTTCTGTGCTGCGTTTTTAGGAGGTGGAAGAGGAACAGCGACCCGGAGAGCTGGCAGACACCGACTGCACCTGGGTCAGCCACAGCATGCTGCAGCGCCGAGCAGAGGACAGTCAGGACAGGGAAAGTGACAAGTCTGGTATAGATAATTTCTTTATTTTTTTTTCAGTAAGCGGGCGGAGAAATTAGGTGGTTAATTTCCATAAGTAATAAATAATCTGCCACGTTTAATTTTCCAAGGACTCGGCGAAAAGGCCAACGACAGTTTGGATATGATGTTTGATGCAACAACCTTTGGGGAGTACAAGTCGTACACCTGCTCCAGCTTGGATCTGAGTCAGCATTGTGATGGGGCTGATGATGCCGAGGAAGTTGAGATTAACGGTACGCGTCTAGGTTGACAGAATCAATCAATCACCAGGCACCTATTTTGAGTTGGATTTTTGATTTACCGATCAAACTAGATCAAGATCTTCCAGAAACTCCTGCATGCTACAGCAAAACCCGGTAAGAAAGCTTTTGATCAACACTTTTCGATCTTTCGAGGGTTGCATGAGTTCAAATGCATTCCTGTACGCCACAGGCAGCCGACGTTTGCACACGTGGCCGTCGTTCGCAAGAAAGACGAGAGGAGAAAACTGAAGGGCACCACATGCAAGGAATGTGAAGTGGTGCGTATTCTGAGTTGGAGCCTGTCCTGAAACGTTGGGTTTTGTTGAAATAATTCCCCGTTCCTTGCAGTACTACGCTCATCTGCCCGAGGAGGAGAAACAGAAGAAGTTATCCGCTTGCTCCAGGCATCGATACCGCTACATTCCACCCTGCACCCCGGAAAACTTCTGGGAAGTCGGATTCCCGTCAACACAGACCTGCATCGAAAGAGGTAACCGACTTTAAGACAGGACGACTGCAACCTTTCAATACCTTGAGCTGAGAGCTTTCTGTGTCTTGCTCAGGTTACATCAGGGAGGAGAAGAACCCTGAGGCCCGTTCACGAAGGCGACAGCCGTTTAATGTTTTGTTCACCCCAAAAAAAATCCAGAAGCAGAGCTAAAACCGTTCAGCTCTACAGATGTTACCTGAGCTGGACGTTCCAGCTGTATATGCATCTGCAAAAACTTCGTGCTTCCTATAGAACTGTAAGATAAGAGACATGTGCTACATGTAGTTTTATTTCGAGTATCAGAAAACAAGACATTTTTTTAAAAAATGTGAAATAGTACAAAAAACATTAAATCTCTCGAAGAAGTGCAGATTTTTGTCTTTATGGTAGAGATTGTCTGTCTGAATACAGCAGCAGTGCCTCTCCAACATGGCTGCCAATCACACTGTAAAAAACACAAATAAAATGTTTTTATGTAATTTCACAATGCATATTCTCTAGAAATCAGAGTGAAATTCTTACCAAAGGAGAGACGCAGAGTTGAAGTCCATGTTGAAAACCAAAGGAGAGAGGAGCATGGCTGTGAGCTGGGAGGAAACGGCACCACATAAATGACCTCCTATCCATCTGAAAGCGGCTGCCGACCGTCGGACAGTTTGTGACGCTTACCTTGGACAGAAAAACCCAGACCCTGAAGTGCTCGAGGGACGGCCCACGTTTTAATCTGAGCGTGGCCAGCAGCAACAAAAACCCCAACAACGCACTGCAGAGGCAGAAACACAAGAGTTGAATTAAAAAAAAAACACAGTTTTACGTTTAACATTAAGCCATCACTATACGCCGCAGTCTGCAGTCACCTGGCGCAGCAGCCGCAGTGAAACGTGTGGGACTGGAGGGAGGGGAACTCCAAGGCACCGGTGATGTCACCTGCAGGGAGACGGAAGTCGTCCGATGGAAATACGCACGCGCCGAGCTGCGTGAATTCATATCGAAAGGTGCGCTAAATTGCCACTCGGTCGGCCATACCTGTTGGATGAGCAGCAAGACCCAGCAGCAGCACGCTGGTTCAAACACAAGGACAGCTGCTGAATATTTGTGTGAAAGACAAACAATCCTAATAGAGCTGGTTAAAACGTCCCCTGAAGACTCAGATGTGTCCCGTTGACTAGCTGTCTTCTGCTACTTACAGCCCTGCTTTGGGACTTTTTGTATGTTTGTCACGAAATTAACAAACAGAAATTCCCATGAACTCTGATTTAATACAACTGTATTCTTACCTGAACAAGTAGTTGATGCATTGCTGTTCAATGTCACTAAAATAGAAAAAACAAAATGATTTTTTTCTTCTTTTTTTCTAACTGAGGGAAGTGGTTTAATTAATAAAACATTTAAATATGTAGTTACTGTTTCACTTTGGCATTCATTTCTTTCAGGATACCACAAAGCTGAGATTTTTCTGTTATATCTCCTGATGGTTTATAATGGGTGATGTTCTGGACAAACAAACCCGGATTTGAGCTCCTGATTATAAAATGAACTTTGCATATGTGCAGGGAGCCTGAAATGCATCACATGATCAGATGTGCGATCTTCAAGGATTAAGAAAGAGGAAAAAAAGAGAGATCTGGCTGAACCATCACATCTTGGAAATACACGGTCCTGACGAAACCTATTTGCCCTCTTAGATTTCTGTTCAAATATTTCAGCTCAGACAAGAAAGATGGGAAAATACAACCATGTTTAATATTGTGCTTGTAGCAAAAAGCTCTCAAAACCACCTATATATAAACTTTGTGAAAATTGCTTTGCTCGCTCGCGAGAAGGCTGCAAACTTCTGGGGAAAACCACCTTTTCACATAGAACCAAACCGGTAGCCTTTTTGTTTTCACTCAGATTATCTTAACTACAACTACATGTGTTCTACTAACCTCAGATTCGTGGACTTGTGAACTTGAAACACTCTGTATGCGCCTGGAAACGACAGATCGGTCATGCAGAGGACGCTTCGGACTTAGAGCCGAGCGCGCCGGGATCCGCTGCACACCGCCGAACTTACCCACGCAGGAGAGGTGGCACAGAGCCCAGACGTAGCCGCTGCGGTCAAACTGTGAAGACAGCGTAGAGTAGCAAGACATGTGGCAGTGTCGGCGTTGCACCCGCCGGTTGGTTGCGGCGAGCCGTTACCTGAGGGTCACACAGGGGCAGGTTGATGGCCGACAGCAGCAGGAGGCAAACGCTGCATCGGGGAGATGGATAATATAGACGCAAAAATTTATATCTCGGTATTGTAAATTACAAGTGTTATAAACACATTGCGTGTCCAATTTGTTCCACGCGATTTGATGTTACTTTTCATCCAAAGCCGCGCTTACACACATCTAAGACCCGATAAGGAGCAGATCTTTCTTTAGGTGGTAACATTCTTTCGATTTTTTTATGACCAAAGTGGCTGAGGGAAAGGCTCACCTGATTATTTTCAGCCGCTGTGTCTTCTGCAGGACAAGAGAGAAACACAAAACTCATGTCACGAACAAGAATCCAATTTTGACCGACTAAATTGTTCGTGCACATAACGAGTTCTCGGATCGAAAAATCGTGCAGGCTGTGTTCAAGGCGCAATGAGATGAACACCAACTAATTCTTGATGTTCCCGTCGGGTCATTGTCTGAATTACTTGAGTCTTTTTTGTTTCTTTCTTTTTCTAAGAAACCAGATGTTGGTTCCTGAATGACTGTCAGCTGTTTGACTCTAGATCTCAATCTAAATCCAAATCTCCTACGTTTTGTTTCTTAGAAAAAGAAAGAAACAAAAAAGACTCAAGTAATTTGTGCAACCACAATCACTTCATTGAAATTTTACAAGAGAGACCCAGGGCTGGATTTAGGATAGTTAACGGCCCCTACAGTGAGAAAACCCTCTGTTTTTCCTATAAAAACAGTGTCCTCCGTCAGAGGCTTCTTCAAATTTGCCGTGGTACAGACCGCTACAGGAGAGCCCATCCTGAAACCACAACAGATACCGCTGTATTCTCTGGTTCTTTATTTTCTTCTGACAGAACTGAGCCGCCCAGACACGACAAAATAACGCAGACAGCAGGCAGTGAATGCACTTACCTCTCTGTGAACGGCGCGGGCGATTATGTGACTAACGACATGGGAGGAATTCTGAAGAGTGAAGAAGAAGGGAATGTCCTGTGCAAGAAAAAAAAAAACAGTGAGAAACCACAGTACGTACCGCACAAGTAAAAAAAAATAAAAACATTAAAAAAATTATTTGTGCAGTTATTTCGTCACTCACTATTCGTGACAAGGCCCTGGAGCCTGCGTATATATTTCCCACAAAAAGGAATGAGCCCGGAAGCCAGGAGAGAGCAGCGGATCTGTAAAGGGCACACACACACACACACATACACACACACACGCACATACACACACACACACAAGATATGTCTGGAAAGCTGGTAGAACATAAACAGCAAGAGGAGCAGCAGGGGAATACCTGGGGATGCGACTCATCTCCACCCAGCCCAGCTTTCCGGACAGCAGAAGCAGGGCGGCTCCAACAAATGTCTGCCATCTTGGGAAATCAATCTCTTTGTTACTTTGTGTGTGAAGAGGTAGTGTTGGTTGGTTTTGACCTACTTACCCTTGAAATAAAGTTGGATAGGTGAATTTCAACACGGACAGGACAAACTGCAACACAGAACGGTTGGGTTATATATGAAAAAGAATAGTGTGGTGTCATCATTCATTATTAGTGTTGAGAATTATTTTTAATGAAACTATTCCACCCTGGTCTCAGCACGTTTTCTTCAGAAACAGCCTCCATTTTTTTTTTTGTTCCATCCACTTTCACTCTCCCCAAAGCATGATGCTGCCACTTCCATCACCCTTGCTTCAGTATTGAGGATGATGTTTTGCATAATCTCATTTGCACAACCTCTTCTGGAGACACTCGGCAGCACTCGATTTTACTTAGAGGTATCAGGAAAAAAAAAAACGCAAGTCCAGAACACTTGGGGGGTGCGTGGTCACGTGGTTACGCAACAACATAAACGTCAATCTATGGTTGCAGCTGCCTTTGGGGATAACACAGCAATACCCTGGCTGCGTTTTGAATCACACGACACACACACAAAACAACAACAACAACAACAACAACCCCTCTTTACAGTAAAACCAGGCATTTATAGACTCCCCTCACCTTATTCGTGAAACATGACACAACGAAGACGCAGCTGAACGCGAGGCCGGACGCGAGGCTTCCCCAGTGCATGATGTTCCACAGACAGTCTGCAGAACATACATTGTGTCTGTGCGAACCCTACATTTGACACAATGTGTAACGTAATGTATCGGAAACTTCCCTCGCTGAAGACACGTCAAGACGCCAAACAACAAAGATCGTCTGCTAATGGTGTGAGGACGCACTCGCGGGGTGCCCGCCTGCAGACGTAGACATTAAATGAATTATTATTATTATTATTATTATTATTATTATTATATTATTATTATTATTATTATTATTGTTGTTGTTGTTGTTGTTGTTGTTATGTCCAACAATAATAGCAAAAACACACAGAATGTCGCATCCCACTCAGCCCACTAAAACCTTTTTATTTGTAGGAATACAAATAAAAATAACTTCCAAACTTGAGTTCATCTGTCTGTTTGTTTTTTCTCTTTCAGCCAGTGAATGTAACAAAATAACAGCAAAACATAAGTGACCATAAAAAAAATGTATATAACCGAAACAATTAGATCAAACAGTCGGATAAAAACGTTTCTTCCATAAACAGTGAAAATCATTTGGTTCTAGACAAGAGGCACCGCAGCGCAGCAATGTTTCTCAAAAAAAAAAAAAAAAAAAAAAAGATAAAAGGTAAAAGAAAACAGGTCAGAGTGAGGACTCTTCGCTGTCCACATCGCACATCTTATTCGGCAGACAGTCGGTCACGTGGCTTCGAGCCAGTTTCCGTGTTGACACATATCTGTGTTGCAGTCGGTGTCGAGTTTCCGAGGAGGATGCGGTTCTGTCATGGCCTTTTTCAGGACGCAAGAGCGAACCAAAGAAAGGTCAGTGCCGCTCTACCGCCTTGGAGCCACCTCGTTGTTTCCGCCCGGCACCTCAGGAGCCCTTTGTTGGAGTCGCAGCCGCGCGGTGTTCGCTTTCACTGCGGCTGAGGGTCTTTGATTCACCGTCCGGGCCACTCGGCTAATGAGAGCTCCTCTGACATCTGCGGGCTGCTTCTCCTTATTGAAGTCATGAAGCTGCTGCCCGGT